CCCCTCTCCTTCTTTTGGTAGTGGTTTGGGAGTCGAACTCAGGGCCTTGCACATGATAGGGAAGTGTCCTAATGCTGAGCTACATCTCCAGTCCCTGTCATGCTTTTTTTTTTTTTATAAACTTTTCTGTGTTTTAGGTTTGTTTGTTTTTTGCAGTACAAGTAATGCCACAGAGAATGTCTGTGTGTGATTTTTTTTTACTTTTGAATTGTTCCTAGAAGCCCTTCACAGCCCCATATGGTCCTGAACTCACAGATCAGGACTCACATGGGAAAATGCAGGCCTGTGCAGTTCTCTTCAGCCTGCTCTCTTAAATCGTTGCAGAGGGTTTTGCCTGCTAATCTACTTCCATTCACAGCCCTGCACTCTGTCCTCTTATGTAGCGCTTTGTTTTTTATGCATTAAAAATTTAAATTGTGAAAAAAATCCAAATAGCAAAATTCAGTAAAAGAGTATAAGACACCTCTGTTATAGGTAGGTCAATAGGTGCTCACATTTTGCTTTGTATTTGCTTCAGATTCTTTGCTTAAAGAAATACTATAGATAAATCCCACCCCACCTCTCCTTGCCTCCCCAAGCTGTTCACTGTCCCACAGGAGAAGTTGGTGGCTTTTGTGAAATGTACTTGTTTTATACTTTCACTTTTACCTCATGCATCTGTGTGCAAAAAACGTACATGTCCATTCTTGCTTTGTGTGCTTTAGGCAGTTGTGTAAATGCTCTTGTGTTATACGCCCCTTTGACATTCCTGTCACTCCACGGGACGGTCTGAGATTTATCCCTGCTGATGCGTGCACGTCTTGTGGGGTCATTTAACTGCTGAGCTGTGTTCATTTCGGGCAGACGCCGATTTACCCGCTTTCCCCCTGAGACATAGAGGGAAGTTCTGTTTCCTGTCCCCCAGACATTGCTGGGGTGAACACCCAAGCACACACCTGCATACGCAGATTGCCAGATCAGCCGTGCATTGCACGCCTGGAGGGTGGAAGCTGCCTGGGCTGTAGGATCCCAGCATTGCGGGAACCAGTGAGCTGCCCTGGTACCACAGCCCCTCCCACGCTGCCCTCACAGATGTCCTTCCCTGATGGGGTCCTGCTGTCTTTAGACTGGATGCAGGTGCCACAGGGCAGCTGTGGGAACAGCTAGGAGGGAGGTTTTGAGGGCAGACCTGCCGCCCCTTCCTGCTGCTCCGGGCTGTCTGTAGAGACCTGGGCCAGACTCCCCCAGAGTTTACAGAGCCTCTGGGGCAGGCCAGTGAGGAGGGCACCTGGTTGAGTGCCGGCTGAGGAGAAGGCGGGCTGGCTCAGGGCTGACTCTCCCCACCCCGCAGGACTCAGATGCAACCTGCACTGCAGGGCCCCTTTCCCTGTCTGAACCGCAAGGGATGAGTCAGTGGCTCTGTGACCTTTTCTCAGATCAGACATTGCTCAGATCACCTGCTTAAATTTTGCAGTCAGTCTGTGGTCTCTACCTCCTGGCCACAAGGTGCTAGGCTGGTCTCGGAGGCCAGCAGGAGGGGCTGGGAACCTGTCTTGGGGACTACAGGGCCCTGTGCTCCTCTTGACCTCCCTGTTCCCTCCGAGGCACAAAGCTGCTGTCCTTTCCTATAGCGGAGGCACTGTCCTCAGTCAGACGCCAGGGCTGACGGCTAATTAATGCTGATAGAAGATGGGGGGCACAGCTGGTCCTCAGTAAAGCCAGAGTTCAGGAGCGCCCTGCCCTGTCCCTCCACCCAGGGTTGCTGCTGTCTGAAACCACATTCAGCCGGTGTTTACTGTTTTCTGGGAATAGCAGCAGCAGCAGAAGAGACAGGGCCAGTGAAAGTCCCTGCCGCGTCGCACTTACTTTCTGCAGGAAGAGGTTTAAGGAGCTGTTTCCTTTTTGAAAGCTGTCTCTGCTGCTGCCCGGGAGGAGTGAAGTAGGGGCTCAAAAGGGTTAGGTTTCATTCCGTGAAAAGCGGATGAATAAGTTATACAGTCTGCTAGCAGGGGGACGCATGAGACAAGAGTTCGGCAGGAGAACGGCCGGTTGCCAGGGTCAGTTGGATGGGAAGTGGCACGCAGCGCAGGGTGAAGGAGCTGCTCAGGTGGCAGGCGTGAGGTGTGGTGCCGGTGGGTTTGGGCATCGTGGGCAGCGGTGCCAGGGGCAAGTGCTCAGCTAACCTCAGAGGGAAGCTGATTTAGTGAGAAGAGGAGAGCCACAGAAGAAGGACAGCATGAAGGGGACGGCCCTTACAGGTCATCTTCGTGGCCCGGGCGCAGGGGATGGTGGCTTGAGTAGGTAGAAGACGGAGAGGTGGTGAGCAGCCTGCCTTCTGGACCCGCCAGGACAAGGGATGTTTTGGGTGGGGTGATGAGTTTGTCTACGCTGGCGTTTGTGCAAACACGGGCTTGAGATGTGTGGCAGCGGGTGGCCGTAGAGAGCATGTTTGCCTCGGGGGAGCGCACGCCATACCTGCCGGCGGGAAGACGTGCGAGCCGACACCGTGAGGCCTGGCTCAGTCTGGGCTACAGCTGTCCATTAAGGTGCCCGAGACAGGTGTCCTCACCAGTCCAGCCCCGGCTGTCTCTGCACGCAGGGCGCGGGTGTACTGGGGAGCTCACGTGTCTGTGGCGACACCCGACATACTTTGTTTCATATGTTTAAGTGTGCCCATCTCCTGCTGCATGCCTGTGGAAGCCACGGGCCTGTGGGGCGCTGCTGAGAGAGGGGGCGCACCCCGGACACTGCCCAGCACGTGCGCCCTCTGAGGGCAGAGGGAGGGTTCGAGAAGGGGCGTGAGGTACGCAGTCAGGTGGTCCCGGGCTGACGTCAGCTGTGTGACCTCGGGGAGTGTGGGGAAGGCAGGGAACTCAGTCACTGGAACACAGCGGCTGCCCAGGCTGTGCCTGGCATTTTAAACACGTCGCACCTGCAAAAGGAAATGATGGACCACAAGCAGTGTCTCCCAAGTCAGGTCATTTAAATGCTTCCTCTGAGCTTTTTGCCAATGTCCTAGACCCAGCTGCAGTGTTATTACCCACTTAGTATGTCTTTTAAACTGGCTTGCCTCTTTCTTTTCCCTTCTCTTTAGCCTCTCCGTAGGTAATGTCTGAAATCAAAGCTTCCAAAATGTTTTCACAAATTTTTTTTAGTGTTTTACCCATCAAAATAAATCTGTAAGAATTAAAAGGTTTGAGCTGTTCGCTCTGATTGGGGCTCAGTGGGGTGCTCTGGGGGCCCGATCCGCTACATGGATCCCCAGCCCTGCGAGCAGCCAAGGAGATGGGGGCCTGGGGTGACTGAGGTGAGCCCAGGTTTTAGGCAGCCAGGCTTGTACGGGAGGCTGGGCCAGAGAGAGGGCGGGACCCTGGGTGAGGCCACTGGCCTCTGTTTGGCTGTGACGTATAGAACTGCCTTGTTCTTTGGAGGTCACAGGTCTTTGAGGGATGTGGGGATGAAGAGCCTGCAGGCCCTCACCTCCCGGGTTGCTGAGCAGTGGATCCAGCAGCTCGGCCACAGGTTTCTTTTTTTTTTCTTTTTATTGAGTTTATTGGTACAATCTAGGTATACAATACAGTCACATTCATTATTGGAATCCTGTACCTTTACATGATAGGTTTTGATTCTCATTTTTTCCCCTTGTCCCTGCCCTCCCTTCACCCCCTCCTCCCCTCCCCATTTACAAACACTTTATTTCCATTTTTTCAGTTTCTCATATTTTTTTCCTCTCCCTTATTACCTTTCCCCCACCCTTCCCACTTTCCCTACACCTTTAGCCCTTTACTTCCTATTTCACATTATTAATTATCTTATTAGGATCCTGGGTACTATTACAGTTTTTCACACCAAAGAAACTATTCGGTATTTCAGTTAAAGAAATCGCTGTATGAACATTAAAAATAGGGAATCCTAAAATTAAACTAAAAAGGAAAGTGAAAGAGAAAAGGCAATGATGTAAGATTAAAATAATCCTTAATTCTGAAGATGAAAATGGTCCCTGCCTGAACATATTTATATTGCTTCTTGCTCTTGTAGTCTTATCGTATTCTTTTTTTTTCATTTAGAGAATACTTTATTAGTTTCTTTAATCAAACCCACGTAGATATGACCTTACGTATTTAATACAGTGTGTTACCCTGTACAAATGGAAAAAAAAATAAAATTAAAATTAAAATTAAAATTAAAAAATTAACATTTCTAGACCAATATGGCTGTCAATTTCTGTGCAATGCCAACTCAACACTGTAAATTGGGCTAACTTTTTCCAAAGTTGACAGCACAGTTAGTTTCCAAAAATTCAAATTTTATATGTATATATATTTATATTTTATAAAAAGACCAATAATAGCAGTATGTTATACATCAATAGCAGCAACAGCCTTTCCAGGTTCTCCAGTCATCTGAACAAAATTATAGACATTCAGCACATTCCATTGAAAAAACAAAAACAAAAAAACAAAGAAAAGAATAATATCCAGAAAACAGCAAAGTTCTGTTGCTGTTGTGGTACCTGGCACCTTTTTTTTTTTTTTTTTTTAGCATCTTAATCATTAAAAATAGCTCGGATAAAGCACGGTCACTACTACGTATCATAAAGCAGGTACAAGATATTTTACATTCACAGAGGTATGATATAGTACCATCCTACATCAATAATAGAATCAGTTTTGGTTTGAAATTTGCTTTGTCTGCAAATAAGATTGCAACCCCTGCTTTTTTCTGTGCTCCTGTCACATGGAGAATTGTTTTCCATCCTTTCACTTTCAGTCTATGGGCTTCTTTTTGCACTGGGTGTATTTCTTGTATACAACATATTGTTGGATTTTGCTTCTCATTCCATTCTGCCAGTGTATTTCTCTTGATTGGTGAGTTGAGGCCATTGACGTTGATGGTTATAACTGATATGTACTGATTTATTATTGTCATGTTATTGGCCTTTTGTTGACTCTTTTTACTTTTTCACCTTCTCCTTTTAAGTTTTTGCCTTGCCTATTTGATTTGCTCTGTTGGGCCTCATGGTGTTATTGCCTTCATTGTCTTTTTCTTTTTTTTTTTTTTTGTTTTTTTGAGACAGGGTCTCACTATGTAGTTGAGAATGACCTGGAACTCACTGTATAGCCCAGGCTGGTTTTGAACTCACAGGGATCTTCCTGCCTCAGCCTCCTGAGTGCTGGGATTACAGGCATGCACCACCACGCCCGGCTTTCATTGTCTTTTTCTAGGATCTTGTTTAGAATTGCTTGTAGTGCTGGTTTGGTAGTCATGTAGTTTCTCAGGTGTTCTTTGTCATGGAAGTATCTTATTTCCCCATCCATTTTTAAAGAGAGTTTTGCAGGATACATCAGTCTAGGTTGGAGGTTGTTCTCGTTTAGTCCTTGAAATATCTTACTCCAGGCTCTCCTTGCCCCAAGGTTTGTGTTGAAAAGTCTGTGATTCTGATGGGCTTTCCTTTGCATGTGATTTGTTTCTTTTCTTTTACTGCTTGTAGTGTTTTGTTCTTCTGTTGGATTTCTGGGATCTTGATTATTATATGTCTAGGTGTAGATTTTTTTTGATTGTGGCTAGTTGGGGTCCTATATGCCTCACTTATCTGAATGTTAAATTCTTCCCCTCTGTTTGGGAAGTTTTCTGTCATTAATTCTGTGAATAGCTTTTTAAAGTCATTTGTATTTTCTCCTGCTACTTCATGGATTCCTATCAGTCTTATGTTATTCTTCTTTGCATCATCTAGGAGTTGTAGGATTGATTTCTCATGATCCCCTACTGTTTTTAAGAGACCTCTCTTTTCCCAGTCACTGACTGCAATCTTATCTTCTATATCTGAGAGTCTGTCTTCACATTCTTTTATTCTGTTGCCTACACTTTCGATGGAGTGTTTAATCTCCTGGATATCTGTTTGAATCTGTTTTATGGATTCCATTTCTTTCCTATGTTGGGCGTTTATTTTTTCCATTTCTTTCTTATGCTGGGCCTTCATGGCTTCTATCGTGGTCCTGAGCTCATCTATTTTTTTGTCAGTTTCTGCTCTAGAGTCTTGAATCACCACTTTCATTTTGATCACCATCTCTATGGTTATCTGGGAAATTATTTCTGTTTTGAATTTTTCTAGAGCCTGATTGATCTCTTTTGTTACTTCCCGTGCTTTGAGTTCAAGGTGTCCTGGTGGTTTACTATTGGCCTTTCCATCCTCATTTGCCCTACTGTTTGCCATTGGTGAACTGGAAGTCTGTCTTTGTGTCTTGCTTAAATGTTTTCTCATTTTTATTTTTGTTGTCAGGCTGTCCTTGGTTTAATCTCTGGTTATCACCCAAATCTTCCTGATATAGTTGCGCCCTAGCTCCTGGGTCTCTAACGACCCACAGACATTCTCATCTTCATAACATCAGAGAAAACAGCTCCTCAAATCAACCACAATCCTTTATCCCAACTGATACCATCAGCAACGCATTATGATCAAGCACAACTTGGACACTGACCACCTGTGGTAGTCACTAGTCTATCACCCTTAAACCATTTGAATTAAATTGAAATCAAGAAGCTGTCCCGAACATGTCTGCAGTGAACAAACTTTTCATTATAATATATTTACCATTTAATGGCTCAGACAGAGCTAGGACACAAGACCCCTGCTCTCAGTTAGCTGATGGCTGAACCCCATGACGCAGACTGACCTCAGGCTGCAAGGCCCAGATTGAGTTCCCCAACCTTCTGAACAGTTGAACTCCACATCGTTCTACTACAGGTTTCCCACGCCCTTTCTTTAAAGATGTTCCAAGTTGGGAACTCAGAAAAATACCCTTTATGACAACCTCTGCCTCTGCAGAGTGGGTCCAAAGACTGGCACAAGCAGGAGATCTGAGAATACGTGGGGGGGAGGGGAGTTATGGGGGTCCAGGGGTGCCCTCGCAGCTACCTTCTTGGTGCTGGAGTGATGGCCTCTGCCACAGGTTTCTACATCAGGCCATTAAGTGCACCTCTGCCCCTGGCTTGCCTGTGTGGACTCCCTGCTAGCACATGTCTTTTCTCATCCTCTTTGTGGAGGTGGGGTGGGAAGCATTATTGTGAAGAAAAGTGGTTTCCATTATCAGGGAAATTTAGTACTTAATGACAAAAAGCAAAACCTCATGATTTATAGAAGGGGATGGAAGGGATACTTGTACTCATTATGCAAGTATTATTTGTTTAAAAACAAATTCATTAATAAAAGTATTCTTTCAAAGTGCTGAAAAAGATAGGGAATGGCTCTGGGCATGTGCGTCGGGAGGTAGGAACAGAGCAGCAGGTGTGGAGAGGCGAGCTGACACTGATGGTGGCCTCCTGGCCCTGGCCCGGCCGGGGACCCAGCGACACCTGGCCAGGTGGCCATCAGAAGTGAGATGGGCTGTGTGAAAGAAATTACAGATGTTGCCTGTGGGATCCTCAGCTGTGTGAGGAATATCTGGTATGGCATGTGACACGTTCTTGCTGTCCCTGTTAGCTGGCCACGAGCATATGCTGTGTCCAGGAGCGAACGCAGGATGCCCTGTTTCCCTTAGAGTCACTTATGGTCGTTCATAACTAGCCTGAGGCTCACTCCCTCTGTCCCCAGGCTCTTCTGCTGCTTTTCTCTGACCCCACATCCTCTAGTGTCACGGCTCCATCAGGCGCTGTGCTGTTGTCCCTGGAGGTCAGCCTGAGGTGCACCTGGCAGCCTGGTGACCCATGGTTGGCAGGGCAGCACGCCTGTGCGTCAGGCCAACCTTGTTCTCCTAGGCATCTTGCTGTGATCTGCTTGCCAGACACCCCTTACCCTTGGGGTGAGGAGGTTGGAGGTAAGAATGGGTGGGGTGGGGCCTGGAATCCAGTCCCCTAGCATGAGGTCTCTGTCCTACTGTCTAGAGGGTCTCGTCTTCCTCGGGACTGGTGCTGATTGGTCTGATAGAGGCCCTGAGTCTACAGAATGGAGGGTCGGAGAGAGGGAAGGGGTTTATCTGAGCCATTCAGTCCCTCACTACAGGCAAGAACGTAAGACACAGTGAAGAATGGCGGGGTGCACAGGGGAACCGTGTCACCCTCTGCACCTCCCCTCCATCAGGGCAGACCAGCCTTGCTTGCCTCCGTCTCGTTAGGATGGCTCAACTTGAGCCTCTTTTTCTTTCTTGCTTTGTGGTACTGGGCATTGAACACAGGGCCTTGCTCATGCCAAGCAGGTGCTCTACCACTGAGCTACATCTGCAGCTGTTCTCCTCCCGCTTTTTTTTCATCTGTCTGTCTTTTTAAAATTTTTGAGTAAAGGTTTTGCGAAGTTGTACAGGCTGGTTTAAACTCGTGATCTTCCTGCCTCAGCCTCCTGAGTGGCTGAGATTATGGGCATAGGCCACCATGCCTTGCTTCCTTTTTTACTTGTAAAAACTTCACATCAAGAATAATAATAATAATAATAATAATAATTATTATTATTATTATTATTTGGTACCAGGGATTGAACTCGGGACCTTGTGCTTATGAGGCAGGCACTGGAACCACTGAGCTAAATCCAC